GCCCTCCTCCTCTGAGCCCTTTTGGGTGCCACCCCCAGGAATCCCCTCGATAAGCCCGCTCCCCCGGCGCTCGTCTGGGCTTTGGCTTTGGCATCGTCTGGGCTCGGATTCTGTTGCCGGATTCTGGGTCTGGGTTGTTGGCTAGATGGCGGGATGGCTGGATGGCTGGATGGCTGACTGCCTGGTGTTAACAAGTTCCCATGCAACCGCTTAAATATTAACGCACACACGGCGACACACGCTGATTCATTGGAGGCAGCTGTCGTTGTCGTTGTCGGCAACTGTAAATAAATACTCATGCAGCACGCGGTGCAAAAATCTTGTGTGTCATTGCACTCGACAGGCAGGACTCTGAAAAAAGTGCCAGGGATACGTGACTTTGGCGGGGCAAGGGAGTCCAGCGAAATACTTGCCCCTCGAACCGCTACAAATCATTAAAATCATCGAAATGCCAGCGAGGCATAATTAACTGCAACTCAATCAGTCCGAGGAGCGGAGTTTGGGGCATGGGGCATGGGGCATGGTATGTCATTCCGGGCACAAGCGTCAATGCAATTAGGGCCTGTCTGGATGTCTTGGACAATCCCAATCCAATTGCTTGCTCCACAGGCTCATTACGTGCCAAATATAAGTGAGAAAGAAACTCGCAGGAGGCAGTGAATCCGGCTCTGATTGTGGCCCCGTCGAAAGTGGGCGCCAAGACACGCCGTCGACCGTGTTAATTGCCGCAAATGCCTCAAGGTATTCCAAGGCCCACGCCCAGCTGCCCCTGCAACTCCCCACCCCTTGCCACCCCCTAACCCCTAACCACCACCCTTTGGACCATATGTTATGTGGCAATTGTGTGTGAGGTGGCTGTAAAATTTATGCCCGCCTGCGGATTGCCAACTTGCCTTGCCTTTGCTTTTGCCTGCTTTTTGGCCACGTCTGTGACTATGGCTAAGCATGTGCACAAGGAAAAATTGCATTCTAAATTAATTCAATTAGGTATTCTTTTCTTCTTAGCATATCTTAAATGAGATAAGCATCCCCAATTTTGGAATGATGTTATTAAAATATTTTAAGCATATTTAAATCATTTGGAAGCTTTAGGCAATTTGCCTTCACATACAAATCATTAAAAGACTCATAATTTTCCCTAATTTTTCCAGTGCACCCTTAGCCATGCATATTCCTCTGCAGAAATGAGCCGGGCTGGCAAATTCTTGGAAATTAGCGCCAGAGTCAGAGAACGAGACGGGACTAACTGAGACTAACTCGTGAACAAATATTAAGTAATTTTGCGCACGCATATCTCGAGAGGAGCATCGAGTGGGGCCCTCAAAAGCGGAATGTATTTTTCCAACTAATTCTGGACGGGGGATTATGTCATTCCAGGGGCCCTCGAGAAGTACGCATCTCCGAAGAACCCTTTCACATCTGTCGGTCTGGAATTTCCCCGAAGTCATCGCATGCCCACCTTCCATTAACTCACAGTCATTTGCAGTCTAGGAAAATAAATGCCTTTGCCCTTGGCTTCAATTTTCCAGCTCATTTGAGAGTTATTTACATCTCACTGCCCGACGCCCCCGAAACCAATAAGCTCCATTTCGTAGTCAAATCAGCCGGCTAAAAAAAGTGGGAAATCAGTGCCTGAAAGCAGGCCTCCGTACCTCTTACCTTCGAATATATCCCTCTAATGCCCGAAACCCAGCGCGCATTTAATCATCATTAAAGTCGGAGAGTCTGAAAGTCTGGCACTGGTTCAGGTTCATGTTCATGCCCCTGTCTGATGAGGTTGGGCAACGGCAATCCTTCCGAATCCGCATCCCAGTCCTCATCCGCATCCGAATCCCTCCTGTTTCTCACCTTTTTGCCATTTGCACTCTTCGATGCTTTCACGTTTTTCATCATCATTACCAGCAGCTTCTACGCACACAGCACGGCAAGTAATAAATAATTTCGTTTAGCCGGAGAACCAGACCAGAATCAGACCAAAAAACCCCGCTTTTTCCCCTAACCAGACGGATGTGCTGAAAGTTTGTTTGCCTTTTGCCTTGGCTGGGTGTTACTTCCGCAAACATAAAATGGCAGAATTGCGGGGCGAAAATCGGGGGAAAATCGGGTAAGGAAGGATAGGACCCTCTGATCCATTGAAATATGACAAAATGCTGTTTGAGACATTTTCAGTTATTGATACGCCCGTCCGTCCATCAGGCAAAGAAAGCAGAAATGAATGAAACTAGGGAGTCGGGTTTATGATGATGTGGGGACCAGAGTTTCGGGAAGGGGCACAAATATTATTAATATGCCAGCCAAAAAAGGCAGACGAGAAATAAAGAGCCAGCGATGGGAAAGAAAGTAGTAAAATCCCCCGGAAAATTGAAAGCAAAGTTTCCTCTGATAAATAGGAAAAAGGACGGGTGGTTTCTGCCAAATGCCACACGCACTTTATCACAAATCAAGCCAAGTTTTTTCGGGAGTGGGGGCGTTGAAAGTGGGGGTTTTGGCCAAAAGTCACGCCCACCGCCCAACGCCCGCTGCTGCTGTGATAAATTTGATGGGAAAAGAAATTATGAGGGTGTCGCTGGCTCAAGAAACGATGCTGATGTTGATGATGTCCTGTAAACACAGGCTCGGGCATAAAGATATGACGCTATAAATATGCCGGGCGATAAATTTCCCCAGTGTCATGTGAAAAACGTTGTGTGGGGAGAGGATGGGGGGAAAGCCCTGCTCAAAAATCGATCAATGGCATATTTATCATACGTGTGGTGGCGGCTTTTTCGGGGTCCCATTCGCACATGGCCTTGCGGTTAAGTTGGCCAAAGTTATGGCATTTGTTGAACATTTCTGATTTAACTTTTCAGCGATTTTTGGAGTTTTTGGGGGAGTAAAAGGTTGTTGGGTTAGTCGGAAAAACCTGTCTTCCTTATAAATCACAATTTGATACAAATTATATTTTCATTGCATTACATGAAACTTCTTATATTACCGCACCAACATCAAAAAATCATTTATAGTTTCCAAAAATATAAGGTTCCTCTATAAATAAGTTAGAAATTCTTATTTTATAGTACAACATAAAGATTTTAGAAATGGTTCTTTTAGAAAAATCCCTTAGAGGTGTTCCTCCGGAACCGAACATGGCCATGAACAAGTTTATTGCCACGCAAATTGCTTTCCATTTAAATGTACATAATTTCTAGGCGGGAGCTTAACAAGATGAGCATTAAATTTAAGTAAAATGCCATCGTAAAAGTGCGGCACATAAATGTAAATTGTAATTTCCGCTGTGCGTTGAGGCGCCGCCACTTGTGGGTGGCTGCCAAGTTGAATGAACTTGTTGTTGCTTGCGTTTGGCTGCAATTAAAATTACATGCAGTGCATTCTCCATTCTGCATTCTGCATTTTCCATTCTCCATTCATAGTGGCTGTCATTCAGAGGAGTATGCATTTTAATTGATGTTTCTGCTGAGGCTGGATGCTCACTCTGCTGCGTTGACAGAGTGACCAAGTTAAAGACAGATGTATGACAGATGTCAGTCAACTTGACAGCCGACTTTCCATTAATTAGGCATAATATTTCATTAGTGTAATGAGCGCCAGGCAGTGGGAAATGTGCCAGCTACTAGCCTCTAATGAAAGCAGGGGCACAAAAAGCAGGCAGTCACTATCTACGCTCTGCTATCCTACACAGAAAAAAAGTTTGCCTTGATAAGGTTTTTATGTTATTAATGATTATACATAAGTATCTTCAATATAAATCTATATCTCTCTGAAATCAACCAGAACTTTTAAGGCTGATATATGAAGCAATAAAATATACATACACATTAGTATACTGTGAGCTTATCGGCAGAGCTCCGGTTGACATGACTATTACCCCTTGTTACATCGCCTAGGGTTTTCAGAAAAACGAATATCCACCTGCTTTTCTATCCGTGTATGCAAAACAACAGACTTGAGGTCTGGCCATGTGAAATGTGTGAAAAGTTGGCATGTTTTCAGCTGCTCCTTTGCCTTTGCCGACTCGGCTGCCTTTCATTATGCGAGTGCACATTAATTATTTTGTAGTTGCAGCCGCTACAAAAGGCGAACCGTACTCTTTTTCTTTCTCCAATCCAGCTGCGAATGTCGGCGAATGTTGTGTGAAGTTGCCGAGAGATATCAGCCCGTGGAATATGGCAGCAGACTTAATTTGTTTGGGGCTCAAACTAATTTGATGGGCTCAACGATTGAAATGTTGGTCTTTGGGACTAGTCTTTTTTTCGAATTTGATTTTGAGCAGGAACACAATCTTAACGTGTTAGTCATTGCTTTACGGGGGCGTCACATGCAGTTGTCCATCATACTTAAGTGGGCTTAGAACACGGGCCTTATCAGCCGCATTTCTTCTTGTGGGGGCTTCTCCGCTGAATCAGGTTTCCCTGAAGCGCGTTTTTCGTCATGATGGCCCCAAACAGATATGATGGCAACCTAAAGCCCGGCGCTTCCTCCTCTTTTCCCACCTATCTTTTCCCGGGGGCCCCGTACTATGTGTACTATGGCTCTAATGACATAATCTGCTTTTGGCCAACACACACACACTACAGAGACACTGAGAGCCCTTTAACTAATCCGCTTAAGTGACTTTGTTGGTGCTGTGTGTGTCGTATGCCGTAGGTGATTCTTCTCTTCCACTTCATGCATATTAAACTTATCGCCGGCAAACAACCGCAATTATAAAATTATAATGGTAATGCCCGACTGGGGAGCGGCAACCGCTGACAGTTGGACTGTCATTGCCGGTGATGATGATGTTGATGTTGCTCTTGCCGCTGATCTGTCGGCCAGATAAACGCCAAAGCCAAAAGAGTTATTAAAACAAGGCCTAGTGGCTTTAACTACGCGCAAATGCCAGACATTTTTACTACTTACTACAAACCAGTTTGGCCCGTTGCAGTTGCATTCCCACTAATTGCTGGCTAATTAGCTGCACGATATTAATTGCCACTTTCTATCTTTTCCATTCGTTGCAGAAAATGCCAGGAGACACCGCGGCGTATACTTAATCTTGTCAACGGGCCCGAAGCAAGGCTAAAACAAACATGAACTGTCTTTGTCGCCCATCACGGATTATGTCCGTGCGCATTAATTTGCTGGATGAAACCGAGTTTATACACGAGATCAAGGTAAGTCGGCCCACAGCTCCCATTTCACCTCCTTTCTCCCTGGATAAACACGGCCAACTCTTTCGCTTTCACCCCTATGTCATCATGATGATGATGAGGCTGAAGAGCGTTTTGTGGCCACAAAAAGTGTTGCATACTTTGCACGTGCCTCGGATTTTTAGGGGTGCCAGCCATCCTACACCATCCTCATCAATATTTAGTGCGGGGCCTTGTGACTTGGCAAACATGCAAAGTGTCATCATTCACACGTCCATCGGCGCAGATGTCTGCTGTTCCATCGCTCTTGGCTTAAAACTGCTCACGTTTGCCAAATTAAATGGGTCGCCAGGCGGCGAATCCCTTTGTCTCCATTTCCCCACACATCCAGCTTGGCTGGGAAAAATTGTGCTGATTTTGCACGCCATCTCGTAGTTGGCATCATGGTGCGGGCGAATCAAATAAATTGTTGTGATTCCTCTGGCTGGCCTGGTTTTCGGCTCTTTGATTTCAGCAGACCTTTGCAAAATCTTGTCCCAATAAAATCCGAATGAAAAAGGAAACTCCCCGGCCAGCATATTTGTATTTGTCTCTCTTGGTCTTTTAATTGAAAAATATTCCGATTCCTGGAATTAAGTCGAGGGCATAAATCAGTTATGAATGTTCTGAGGAAATTTCATTAAAATGCTATAAAATAGCTCGATGGCATCCATATCGATTGGGGATAAATCACAAGCATAAAATGGCCAAGAAAACTATTTACTTGCTGTGATCAAAAAAATAATTGAATGGAAAGTTAGGAAATGTGAATATTCGGAGTAATCTGGAATTGATTGAAATACAACTGACTGGCAAATACTTTTCAGTGCAACCTTGATTCAATTAAACCCATTAAAAATCATGAAATTTGCATAAAATCTTTAAAAATAACCTCGTTGAAGGTTATGCCCCATAGATAGTTCAGGGTAATCGGCTGATGTGCAACTGATGTTCGAGATAAGGTTCAACTACAACATGATGCCCGATCATATTCAATGCAAATTCTTGTCATATCCGATGCGAAGTGCCTGTGAGGTCTGCGACATAATTAGCAGCGACTTAAAGGGCGGCCAGTTAATTATTCAGATGCCGTAAAGTCGGGCCATATATGCACCACATATACTGCACCACATAAGTTGGCTGTGCAGTGTGTGGAGGGTAATTGGACCAGTTGAGCGTGAATGGCCACGGGCGCCTCGTGGAGTTGTTGCAGCCTGCTGCCTGATTGATCGACTGGTGGGATGGAATCCAGAGTCGGGAATCCGGGGAATCGGGAACTCAACCACGAGGACAGACTAGTTCAGCCATTCCGGGAACTGACTAATGACACTGGAAACTTGTGGCGTGTGTTGCAAGGCATGTACAAAAATTGGAGCACGTAAAACGCTAATAATCACAGCTCATCAGGGGAGATTTATAATAATTTTACAAGATCTCAGCCAGAAGCCGGGGGCGCTGGCATTAGGGGGCGTGGTCACCATTTGACATCGGCCAAGTGGCTGTTTTTTCGCCCCCGGGGGTGACCATTAATGAGTTTGAAAAACCGGACAGGGAACAAGTACTTATAATAGCTGGCACAACTTATCGCTTGTCATTATTGGCGGGTCGGGGCGACTCACCGCGAGTCACCACATGATTGATAAAAGACTCGCCGCCGCCGACAAATTCCGAAAACCCAGAAAAAAGCCACGACAAACAACGTCGAAAGCCCAGCCATGAATGAAAACTCAAAGAGCCGCGCAGCGTCGATTCGATGACGATGGCCTGATATGCAAAAAAGGCAGCGGAAAATGCGTGTGGCCGCCAGCCTCAAAACGTAATTTTATTTACACGACCCAAAGACCAAAGAGCCAAGGAGTGAGGCAAAAGCAACCTGGGAAGCGGCCAGGCAGACAGTCTGTCAATTTGCCACGGCGACGTTGTCGTTTTGGCCGTGTTGATTTTGACGGCTGCCGATGGCACTAAACGCACGCACTTAAAGCCCCCAAACGGCTGCAGTCTGCCATTAAGACAAGGGGAGGGGGATAAAGATGTACACAGAAAGAAAATTAGGATTTAATACGATGATCTGATTTTTATATGAAGCAGATGGTTTCATATGATTACTATTAAAAATAATGTTAAATTAATCTGAATTAATAGTAGAACAATATAAACAACCTTTCAGGGATCTTAAAAAGCCCATCTAAGCCATACATGTTCTATACATTATCCATTTCAGTCTCTGCTGGTGCTCTGCTGATACACGCACAGTATTAGATGAATTTGAATATCTGTTTCACATTACTCAGATACTTTCTCGCTCTGTAGATATAGTGATATATGTACCTATATAGGGAAAAAAGGGAGATGCAGAGTAGACCGCATGTTGACTCGTTTTGCATTTCATGTGGCGCCCAGTCAGTCAATGCTGCATCAACACACACTCTAGTACACATCTCCCCTGCAGTTGCGTAATCGATATTTCATGGCCACGACAAGAGCTGCGCCAATCGTTGCGTATGAGTGATTATTCGGAATGCGTTATCTTGCGGATTAAATTTAAGTCGACAAGCGGCAAACAAACAAATTCATGCAGATATACCCGCAAATAAAAAGCCACAATGTTATGAATGAAATTCGCTCGAAATTAATTTAGCTGAATCATAGTGGGATTTATTAATTGCCAACCTTTTTTGCGGTCATTTAAAATGTGGTTATGGAATCATTTTTAAGCTTAGGTACATATGTACTACATGGTAATTTGATTTACAAAAAACTTCATAAGCAGCTTTAAAACAAAAGCCACAAAAATGCCAGTAAACCCCTTTGTAATTAATTTAATCAGCCTAAAAAAATGCCATAAGCTAAATGTCAAAAAATTACAATATCAAATAAAAAAGGAAACTTAAATTAAGCAACAAGTAAACTTTTTCATGCAAAAATGATTATTTTTTATAAAGAGTATATAATTGGAAATACCTTCAAAGCTCATAGGTATTATAATTAAGTAAAGCACTTGCAGGATTACCATTAACTGATAAAATATTTACCAGCCAAACCGGGATAAAGATAAAGAAACATTTTTTCAACACTAAAGAAATTGAGGCCAAAATAACAAATGCGAAAACTTAATTTAATAGTTGAATACATTTTGGTCAAAATCAGAAACCCGAAGTTTCTGGTTCCTTAAGCATTCCCACAAAATCCCCCACTAAAGTCTGACACAAATTCCAAGAGATCTTAAAGCTGCCGAGACAAAAGCCTGAAAAATGGAGTTGAACCCGCCGAAATCGAGACCCTGGAGACCAGTCACTTAAAGGCTGGCAAAACTGTGACAAATGATTTTGACGACTTCATGCCCCGACTGGAACTGGGAACTCTACGTGAGCATATAGACCAGAAATCTGTGAGTCTGCGGGCCATTTATCACGCTTACCATGCTAATGACATTTTGGCCAAGTCGGGCGCAGACCTGGCCACTTTTCAAGTGCTCGGGCTGCGAAGCAGATCGGCCTGGCACTTCTTGCCACTTGAGGCGGCCAGAATGGCATAAGCTTGTTATTGCTGGATAAGGTTATATAATTATTTCTTAACGGTTAAAGCCGTTCCGAGCCGGAGTGTGTGGGCATTGTTTGTCCAGCGCTTGATTCTGTCAATACAGGGTGCCATTGGAGAATTTATGTAAATCATTCCTCGGCAGACACTTCAGCTCAGCTCAGTTCGGCTCACTTCACACCGGCCACAATGACAGGCCGGAATGGAAAATGGTTAGTTCGAGTGCTTCACGAGCAAACACTTCGTGGCAGCAATTCGAAATTGCCATATAGCTATCTGGGGTCTAGAGCTACAGTTTGGGGCCAGAAGTTGGCCGGGCCCCCGAGCGACATTTAATTAGAGTCCGCAACTCGCAGCTCGCGTCATTGCTGGCCGAAATAAACCTGCAGTTTATGGCCAACATAATTAAGTTAAAAGCTTTTTTACAGTCCCCGCTATTTCCAGTACCAGAGAACCGGACAGAGCTCGCTCAAATTGATAATGAAAATGAAAATAAGCAAAGCCCATGAAGCGTGTTTAATGGCTAAATAAATGCCGGCGTCTAGATTTCAGCACCCACACCTGTATCCGTGTATCTGGCTGTACAGCTATCCCAGTATCTGTGTGCTCAAATTCAACGTTGGCCAGGCTAGCAGTTATAGACGGTAATTTGGGCCATTTGCCAAGGCCAGACCATTGATTTGACCCAAGAAGTCGGAATGAAAATGGCTGCATTTCCATGGCAAATGTTTAATAACGGTAAAGATACACCGAGGTAATGGATTATGTTCTGGAGTTTTGGGGCACAGACAAAATGATTACTTGAATGGCTTCGACTTAATATATTATATATTTTCAAGCCATCTCACAATTATTTAAAGATAATCAATATTGCCAAAAACATTAGTTTCATAACAACCTAATATTTTTCTCTGTGGAGAAAGCATAAGCGAAATTCAAAATTCACAATACCCCCGCTTTCGACCGTATTAAATGACGTAATTAATAGGAGGCAAAAGGTTAGACCCAAAAGGCCCAAATGTTTTACCTTTTCGCCCAACTCAGCAAAACAGTTTTCCGGCGTTGCCCTTTTTTCTTTTCATTTTTTTGGCATTTTTTGGGGCAGCTGGGGTAATTACTTTATCTGTTGCTGAAGTTGCGCTTCGGTTAGATAATAGGATTAACAAAGCGCCCCTTGAAAGAAACCGAAAACAGAAAACTGAAAATCGGTAACACAAACTGGAAAGCCAAGTCAAAACTGGCCAAGAGTTTTTTGCGCCCGCTTGTTGCCTTTCGCAGCTGTCAGAACCATAACTCAGTGTCAAGTCGAGACTTGGCGGCTATATCTGAATATCTGGCCATCTGAATGCGAGTATCTGCGTGGCCACAAAGCCAAAGCCCCAGACAAAAGACAAAAAGCAATTGTTCAATCGGTTGAGGCTGCGGCTGTGGCAGAGAGAGGGACCCCG